CCAAAGTATTATTATTTAGTATTTTTATTTACTGTTGTGTACATGTTTTTTAAGTATATTATCAATATTTTCTTTGTTCATCCAACAACTTTCTAAATTCTATATTATATCTACGTATGTTCAATATAATGGGATCTCAATGCACACTATTTTTATATAATTAATGACTGACTAACAAAAAAAATGTATTTAACCAATATTTGTTTAAATGTAAAATAAGTGACTATTGGTTTATCCCTTCGAGTGATGTATAAGATTTGAAGTGATAATAATATATCATATACACTGATACAAGTATCGAGACCAACAATGCATTTGAGCTATTAAATTGCATATCCATGTGCGCCGCGTTACGGTCCACATAAAGCGCACGTTATAATATAACATGCTATTTGAATAATAATATAAACGTATTCGTTGTGCATATTATTCTTGAAGAAAATAAAGTTCTTTATTTTTACTCCATGATAAATTATAATGTAAGAAGAATACAAATTTATCAGCTATAAATATAGTAAAAAAGAAGTATTTTCTTAAAAAATTAATATAATCACTTCGGGGGTTGGATTTTTTTAATTTTTAAAAGGGTTATTCATTATTATTATTTGTTTACTGTACCAACAGGATCATTTATGGGTATTGTCTTGTCATCAAAGTATTAGGTGTACGCAGATATATTAAGATTGATGTCGAGTTCATAAAAAACTTAGGCAAATTATAGTTACAAAATGGAATCTATGTGCTTTGATTTTAGTGAAATGTGTTTGGAACAAAAATTTGGTAATAAATAAAAAAAAATAAGTTTTATTTAGGTTAAAGTAATTTTAGTATTTTATTATTGAAATTGTTTGTGTGAGTTGGGTTTAAAATTCTATTATATTTAAAAGTAAACAATTATATTGACACGATTATAAGAAATAAGATCTGATTAGGTCGTAAATTCCTTTTTATTGAAATATTACTATAAAAAAACAAAAGTCATTAAACAAAATGAAAAGATATTGATATTTTTTAAATATAAATAAAAAAAAAATGTTCAAAAATCCAATATAGAATTTTTTATTTTTTTTTTTGAAAATGACATTTTTTGTGGTACCGTAATTTTAAGATATTTTTGTAAGTGTCTACAATTGAGATTTTTTAATTTTTCGGCGCTGGGAGGTTCACTTAGATAAAATTCTGATTCTTTTGATCAATAAAATCGGTCCAGTGATAGCTGAGAATCTTCATGGACAGACATAAAAAAAAACATACCATCACAAAACAAATACATACTCAGCTTTACATCAAAGCAACACAATATCCTTGAAAAGAACAAACAGTAAGCTAATTATAACTGAATGGCTATTATATGTTATTAAATCATTAAATGTTTTGCTTTTTGTATTTTCGTTCCTGTTTGAACGAATTTTTTTTCAAAGTAGACATATTTAAGAGTAAATTTAAAAAAAGAATAACTCAATTAGAGTTTAGTTATTTTTTTATCGTTTGTCCAATTCTTCTATTTATTACATGATATTTTTTTTAAAATTAATACTGTTCTTTAAAACTCTATCAACAAACATACTGTTGGTTACTTTGTTTGCTCCTATACAATTAAATTTAATGTACACATTATATAATACTTTTAAAATAATATATTTTTTATAAATATATACTACTAATGGATTCTTGCGAGGACGATAGTATCTCTGAATATTCCTATAACCTGAGTATTTAAGTAATACTAACTAATTACTGATGTCTTTTCCCAATGTAGAATTTACTTTAATTTGACTTGTCCAATCCTAGTGAAAATGTTCTTTTCTTCCTTGTATTCTACTAATTTACCATTTAGTAAAAATATCGTGTCTCCTACTTTAGCCGTAAATTTTTATGCTTAATACCTATTTTTAATTAAAATTTTTTTTTTTTTCGTGAATGGATTAACAGATATTATGAAATATTCCAGACAGTAACGTATCTGAAATAGAATTTTCTGTTATTTTATATATGTTTCCAGCTTGTAAGGTTTTGTATTTAAATGTATTTAAATATTTATCAATTGGTTTGCAAGCATAGTTGGATGTATTATCTGAGTAAACTCAATTTTCTGTCAAATATAAAAAAGCGTATAATTATTATTTGGTGGATCTTGTTTGATATGATTTATTTTAATGATATATGTTTACTTTCAAATATTGAATATTATTTTCGCTTCTTTGTTAAATGTTGTTACATGTATTATTCCCTTGTTATCAAATCTGTCAGCCGCAAATCGTTTTCTGTGTGGTAATTTTGAATTGGAAAAATATGTTATGGTGGGGATGATTTTTATTTTCTGAGTTATTAATACAAATCTAAACTGAAGGAATTTTCATCGTATTGTTGTAGGCAAAACTGTTTCATACTTACTTTACTTGTTTTTAATACTTATCATATATTTGATATTTGTATTCATATTTTTTGTTTTTATAGTTACTTCGCTAATTAAGTCTGTATTGATTTGTTAAAATTTGACTCAATAAAAACAAACTTGTCTAGCAGAATTCATATGATATACGAATTTATGCGTATGACGGATACGGAGTCTTTTGTTACTTTGTTATTTACTATCCATACAAACCTACGTAAAGAAGATTTGCTTCAGTATTTCAACAATAAAAAGATGCGTTTTACTTGAAAGAACTTAAACATTTCTCTGTAAAAATGTATATTAAATACCACAAAAAATGCCAAATTCGAAAAAAAACTAGCTACAAATTTTGATATCAAATTATCCAAGTTTCTATGAACACTTAATTAATATGAATTTTTCCTTAGATTCTCTTTCAACTTAATCATTTTACTTTTGTACCTATTTCTTCGTAATATTGTTACTCAGTAAGCTTGATGGTTTCTTTTGAAATCCTCATAAAATGATTAAAGAAGACAAAACAAACAAAATAATAAAGGAGAAAATAAGATATTTAGGTCAAAATTTATTAATTAACTATGTTGATTAAAGTTTTGATATTGTCGATTTATTAAACATTTGACCTTATGCATTATAGCCAAGTAGTGTTAAATGATTTTTATACAATTTTATATTTGAAAAATCAAGAAAAGTTTCATTAATAAAACAACCTTTATCTAAAGTTTGAATTTGCTTGGCAAATTTATAAGAGCTTTACAGATCTGATTATATTCTGGAGCTACTAGAAATTTGGCGAACATATTATGACATATAAAGAAATATTAGAAAACAATTTTTTCGACCAAAAATTAAAATTTTACTTTTTTTTGATAGGAGTTAAAAGGTATTAGGGGATGATTTTTTTCTGAATTTCAATAAACTTTTTTCGTATACAATTATAATTATAATATCCTTATTATATTAAAATATAATAATTATTTTTATAATATGTTTAGAGATTATTGTATGTTCATAAAATATATTAGAATAGAATATTTTGTTCAGAAATAGACCACTAAAAAAATTAGGTGAGTTAGACAGAAGTTAGGAGTTTTATTTTACTTTTTATTGATCTACTTTAGTGATTATAATAAAATATTTTTAGTTCGAATTTTTATAATATTTGACTTTTTGAATTTTCTTTTAGACTATAAAAAAATTTGTGAAAAACTTTACTGACTTGGGTATTTGTTAGAATCAATTGAAATTTAGTTCATTTTCATATAATCTACCAGAAGAGAATATTCTGCTCTTTAGTTGATATTCTTATTTTTTTTTTTAGGAAAATTAGGGATGGTTTTGGAATTATTCTTAGTTTTGTTGTACAGTTTTCTAATAGTAACAAAACATTTCTAAATCTAAAATTTCATTAATTTTTCACCAATAGATTTTATTTTAGCTTGCATGAATAGTATTGTGAAAATCACTCTTCGCTCTTATATATTAAGGTTAGAATGATCATAAAATTTACATATAAGTCACAATTTATAACTATGGACACAGATATAAATAATTTTCAAAAAAATAATTGAAGTTAAATTGGTCTTCTGAGTGCTACGAAAGCTTAGAAACTCTGCTGTCTCAGGACTCTCGAGTACTTTCATTTAAATTTGGTCATAATTAAGACTCAAAATATTTTTCAAGACATTTTACCATGGTTTTCACAAAATATTTGAAGGCTAGTAATCAATAATATGCTGTATTAAATGCAAAATTAAATTAATACAGATTAATAGTATATAGGCCAACTTCCATAATATATAGGATATGCCTAAAAAAGCTTTTATTTCAAATAATTCTAAAAACCTAAAACCATATTTTAAATATTTATTGCATTATTAGAGACATTAATTCTCAATTATTATATTATTTTAAAAATTAATATAAAATAATTTTAAGAAAAATTAATTAAAAATATAATCTTAAAAAAAATTCTATAATATTTGTACTCTAAAATGTTATTTAACTCATGAATCTGAAATTTATGAATGGTCTTGTAAGTTTTGTTTCAAGTAAAATAAAAAATGTTAGAAATTATTCAAAATTTTTCATACGTCGTATATTATTTTTAATACTAACGTTAATTTTTTATCCAGGTAGTGTAAGTTTAGCAAAAAGTATCAAAAATCTGTGCATAAATATGACATTATTATTTTTTATCATAATTTTCTTACATTTTATGAGTTAAAAACGTTCAATAAATGAATGTGAAAGTTCAAATATTTTTTTAAATAGAGTAAATATTGAATATCTTTAATTAAAAATAAATTATTAATTTGCTAATTAAATTAGATTGTTTTATTAAATAATATTTAAATTATTATTTAATTAAGTATTTTATATATATTTATTTTATTTTTAAAGTAAAATTAACTTTTTAAATTGTTTTATTGGAATAAAAAAATTCCAATTAAATTTACTACATAGACATAAATTTAAACAATTAATTAAAATAAAATATTTTTCTAATACTATTTGTTTTTATTAATTTTTTGTAAAATAAAAAAACCATATAACTCAAAAATTTAACAATACTATTTCAACGTTCATTTCTTTTTTTCTACAGAAGAAGATATTGATGATTTTAATATACAAGTGTCCCGGTATAGACCAGAAGAATTGTCAAAGCTCACTAAAATCACTAAATTTAACAAAAAAGAAATTCAATTAATATATCGAGGTTTTAAGCAGGTAAGGTATAACGTTAGATTATTATCTAGCATTTATTAAATTGGATAAAATTTATGTTAACTTTATTTGTATACTCAATAGTTTTACTCGAGCTTAGATTTTAAATGTAACCTACTTAAATTCAAATGATCACATAACAAAGAAAATATCTTCATAAAATATTATTTTTTAAATATTTTTAAACAATTTTCAAATGACTTAAGCGTTTAAGCGTAAAAAAATAATAGCCTATTTTTTCATTACAGGAATGCCCTACCGGTATGGTTGACGAAGACTCATTTAAAACTATTTTTTCACAATTTTTTCCACAAGGTGGTAAGTTAGTTAACTTATTGAATTTTATAACTTAAAAAACCATTTATCTTTGTAAATTTTATATTTCAGTATATAAGAAGAGTTTTTTTTTATTATATTAAAAACAAATGGTTTAAATGTACATTTACATTTTATTTGTTAAAAAATAAATACAATGGAGTAAAGATATATAGTTTTTTTAAATATATGGTATATTAATAATATACATAAAAGATAATAATCACTTTAGGTCTAATGTTCAATATTAGGTTAACTGGTTTTTAATTTATTTTTTTCATTATATGGTAATATAACGATTAAAAGATGTATGGTATTGTATATCTTTATAGCTTTTTTATTTTTTTTAATTCTTTATTTTAGCCATAATTTTTCTAAGATTGCAATTATTATTTTAAAGTTAAAAATAAAACCTTCTGATTGCTGCATGATTTTTTACATATTTATTTTAATAAAAAATATGCTAATTTTTGTTGTTTTGGGCTTTATTAGTATTAACTTTCCTATATTTTGCATACTTGACACGTAAGACATCAGGATGTTAACGGAATCTTGACCCTTATCAAAATTGTTGTACTTATACTGAAGTTTTTAATTTAAAATTAAAGTTATATTAAAAATATTAATTTAAAACAAAAAAATTAAAAAATATATAAAATTAATCATCAAACAGGGTAACCATCATTAGTATTGATAATGATAACATTGTTCCTAAACTACAAATCCGCGATTTTTTAATAATTTTTTGTATTTTTTTAAGTTAAACTTTTTTAATGTAATATTAATTTTAAATAATATTAGCCACAAGTGATCATTTTTTATTTTATTTTATTTTATTTTAGTTTTGAATAAAATGTATAGTACTAATTAGGAATAGTGACTTTTACCAAAATAAAATATTAGTTACATATCTGATATAATCTCAGTTCCTTCATAAAACATTCCAAAAACAGTTAATTTTAAATTTATATTATAATATTTAATATTATAATTATTTTGAAAGCTGTATAAAAATGTAAAAATATTATTGTATCAATATAGTGTGCATTTTTTTACAGACGCAACTCAATATGCACAGTATGTCTTCAACACTATCAAAAGAAATCAGTCTGGAAAAATTAGTTTTGAAGTAATTATAAAATAGTATTAGTATGTCTGAATAAAAAGTCATTGGTATTTTAACAAAACTGACGATATCACCTTTTTTAAAATAAAATTATATGCTTTAGTATTATTTTTTTAATATATTATGATAGGTTTAATAAATTAATTGCTGAGTAAATTACAAGTTTTTAATAATTTAATTTAAGAAAATGGAAAAAATAAATACGTACTGAGGAATAATTATTTAGTGTATCAAACTGTACTAAAGTTACTTTTTCTGTATAAAACTAATCCTCTACTCCCTTCTAATCCTATTTTGTTTTTTCTATGGCTTCAATCGAAAATCTTTCTTGCAGTTATTTTATTCTTTATTCTACAAGAAAATACTTTTAAAGTCCAATGTTTATAAACTTACTAACTTTCTAGACTTGTTTTCCAAAAACATAATGAATTTTTTTTAGTTTTTCCATATCAAATCCATAATACGCAATTCCAAAAAATATAACAATGACTCTGCGCACGTTAATATAACATTGAGGATACAACGAAATACTTGAAAAAATATGGTTGAAGTAATTTAATAGCATATTGTCGAGAAGCAAAAAGTTCTTATAGTAAAAGAAATCATTTAATTTTTTGGATTCTTTACTTGTAAATAGAATTAAGGTATTTGACAATATATAAAATTGAGATTTTAGTTGCATTAAATTGTTTTCGACTTAAAGTTTTTGTAACCAAAATTTTCTACCCTTTCAAGTTCCACTAATAATTAATATTAACAGGTGATAAAATTCGAAGTTCTCATTATTAAACGTAGTCGAGTGTGTCAATAATCTATTACAATTTAATAACTAACTTAACATATAAATCTTTCATAGCTAAATTAAAACTTTCATTCGACGATTTTTTGAATATTGCCCCACGTGTATCTAGTTTTTTTCTGCATCGAATAAAATTTTAATATTATTAAATGAAATCATATTTTGAAGAATTATATTGTTGTAATAATTTATAAAAATATATTTGTTATAGATTAAAATTTCAAGGTTTCTAGCTGAAAGAGTTGTCTTCTAAGAATTTTTTTTTTGATAGACATTTTAAAATTCAATGACATTTAAAATGTAGTTTTCGTGTGTGAATGGACTTGATTGCAATCATTAATAGTTTTTTTCATTAATTCGAGAACATCTTGTAGATAATTGATGATCTATTTTAATAGGAAGAATGTAACTTCATTTGTAAGATTTAAATTAATAAGATATAAAAATATCAGATGAACAAAAATACGAATACTTTTAATACATTAAATAATATTAATTACTATTCAAACATACGTTATTACAATTTTATAATATTTTCATAGAATTAAATTTAATAAATGTGTATTGATAGGATTTTTTGGCCATACTTTCAAAAGTATCTCGCGGTAGTGTTCAAGAAAAACTACACTGGATATTTGGCTTGTACGATCTAAATAAAGATGGAGTAATCACAAAAAAAGAAATGCAAGATGTGGTGCATTCCATTTACAGCATGTTGGGTAGACATACAAACCCACAGACTGATGACCAGACTGCAAAGGATCACGTGGACAGAATTTTCCATGTAAGTAAATTCGTACGGTTTTCACCTCCCAAACCATCGGGCACAATTTTGTTAAATTTTTACCGCTTTTTAAAACTATATATTTTAGAACAGATACGCATCGAAAATTATCCAACCGTTTGAAATTTAAGTCGATTAAAAATATTTAAACATATATTTTCAATATTGCGAACAATTGTAGAGCTTCAATGAGCTGTTGAAAGCGCTTGAACGATATCAATATATTAATGATTGTACATTATTGTGTATTTTTCAGTTGATGGACAAGAACAACGACGGAAACGTAACTTTGGATGAAATGGTCGCTTGGTGTAGCCGTGACGAGGGTATTCTACAGTCATTGGATACTCTGGACACAGTGTTGTGAAATGAGCCACGCTCGCCCAACATGCGCATAGGTACGCGTGGCCGGGCGAGCCTGTTTAATTGGTGAACACTTACGTTTCATAAGGCATTTATTGCGAACGTCGTGTGCCATTCAGACATATTGCTTCGTATGCAACGTTCCTATCAACATTTCCCTAGTAACTACACTGACCGTTTAGGAGGTCAATTGGAAACAATCGTAACGTTGTCACTATCACTACTGTCGTTACCAACTATGTGCAAACACCAACCGTTGGCAGATACTATTTTCCTATGCTGTTATAATTTATTTTGGCGTGATCGAATGTTGTTTAAGTTTTAACGATTTTTCAATTTCTTATTATTGTTATTATAATGTATGTAACCGTAGACAGATGTCATTTGATGGTAACCGACGAAAGTACTATATCGTTTCATATTTAAATTATTACGGTTAAACTATGAAATTCACACATTTTCTGATTAATTTCTAAAAATAAAATTTTATCTCTTCACAACTCTATATGTTTGGCATTTCAATAGAAAAAAATTGTTACTCTAGTTCTCTATCTAACTACAGATTTATTTTTTTTTTTTATAATATTCGAATTCCAAATGAATCGATGATTTCGTAAGAATATATAGTATAACTTTTTTTTAATTAAATAAAGCATAGAAGTTATAATTTTTACGAGGCTATTTTTTTCTCCAAAAAGCCATTAGTGTATGACACTTATTACAGGGTAATCATATTAAACTGATATATACTTAGAATTCTTTTTGAAAGTCAATACAAATGGCTACCATTTTGAAGAAAAAAAATTTAGTTTATATTATTAGTTAGAACACTGGTTATAAATATTTAGTAAAATATTAAGGCTTTCAGTTACAGATACTGTTGAATTTAATTTTTTTAATTTTCTTTGTGTTATTTAAATATAAGTGTCAAAATTATTTTTCTAAAAACAATGTTCAGTAGTCTTCGGGCTAAATTCTCGCTTTACAATTTGTTGTTAGTTGTTTGTTCATTAATACGTATTTTCGTATATTTAAAAAAAATAGGTAATATTTTGAGATTTTTTGTAACTCATTGCAAGATTCTTTATTATAACACAATAGTTAATAATAGTTTTTCAACATTTAACTTTTAATCATTTTATAAATACAATTTTAAAATTATGTATAAATAATTTTTTTTCTCAAAAAAAAATACAAGGGTTTCATATATTTTTATTATGATCTTTCAATTATTTCTTATCGTTATGTCTGAAATAGGAGAAACTAGCATACCATAATGTTATGTAAATGGTATTTCACTTCCCCAGCCCTGAAATAAATAAAATACAGGTTACGTAAATTATTGTTTGAATTGTGTAATAAACCAATATTTTTCACTAGATCTCCCTAACCTTAATAATTTTTCATATTATATAAAACATAAGAGTTCATACATTTTAAATGTTAATCAAATTAAAATAGTATTTATGTGAAATTAAGGTTATTCTCATTTTTACAAAGACATCATATCGTATAATTAACAGCAAATCATGAACATTGCAACACAAACAACTTAATACTGAAAATATACATCACAACTTAAAATTATTTCTTGAGGTAAAGATAAATAACAAATCAAATATAGTGATACTGCTAAAATACTAAAATAATAAAGTTACACATATCAAGGAAATTAACTCAATTGACTTACAAAAATCTATTATACTTATAATCAAAGCTGTCAACTGTTGTGTTCTAATTTTAAATTAAATTTAAATGTTTGTTCTTTTTGTAAAATCTTGATCAATTCTCTACTGAAGTTTTGCGAATACATATTTCTCGAATAATATTTTACTAGTATAAAAAATATTTCTTATTAATCCTCTTCTAATTATATTATGTGAACCACCCATATTTTCTAACTTATATGTCTATACTAATGATTAGAATAGTATAAAATTCAATTCTTTAATGTTTTACGATTTTAATTTTACTTGCTGTTTCTTTTCATATGAGGGGTCCAAAATATTAAAACTATTTATTTATTTAATATAATTAAATATCAATTTTTTCTGACAATATTAATGCCAACAATTGAAATATTGTTATATTATTAAAGATTAATATTTTTATCAAAAAAATTAAATTATTATTTGAATCATTAATATTATTAAAGAAAGTAGTGACACAACTATTGTGTAGTAAATATGTTGATTTTTTAAACCAAAAATCATAAGTTGATTTTAAAAATTTTGAACCCAATTATAAATTATTTTCTCTGTTTTCTTATTTGACGAAGTACCTTACTGAAATTTTAATAGGAACCATTTTAACGAAAAATTTTTATGAATAATTCAAATGAATTTTGAAATAAAATTCATATCTTTAAAAATAATGCTTTATGGATAATGAAAAGTTTTATACCAGAATAAACGTATACGCAAATTTTATAATAAAAAATTAATAGTGTTTAATTTATCGTTAACCACTAAATTTCTAAAAATTAATATATCGGAAGTTATTAACATTTTTGAATGTCTTCGTAAAATAAATATTATTAAAATAAACAAAAAAAATTGTCAAAATTATTATTTTAGAAGAAATTTGGTCAGCGATAAATTAATCAACTAAGTATAAAGGTATCAAAGATTATTTAATAACAGAAATAAAATCAAACTTATTAGCGTTATAAGGAAAGTTGGAAAGTTTACCAAGTGTAGGTATTCAGTTACAACAGTAATATTTATTGAAATAAAACTGTTTAATTTAATGAGTTTATTTCACGAACATGTAGATAATGTATTTTATACACGATTTCCGTATTATTTATTATAACTTTGTTGATTAATAGCTAAATAAATTTTAATATATATTGAATTAGAAAAATAAATCTTTTATTTCTCTAGATTTTGTAATCATTAAAATTGTCTTTGAAATTAAAAATGATTTATAGTAAACTGTAAACACAACCTTTTTGGACTTGTATTTACGTTGCATTGTAAACTATTGTTTTTTAAGAAGTACTTAATTGTATTAAATTGAATTATGTAAATAAAATTCTTCCATAATAATTATAAAACATTACATAGATAGAAGTTTATTTGTCTTACACCTACGTCCTTTTTCCAATTGTTCAAATTAATTATTTTTATCAGTTCATATTTTGTATTTTCATACAAAATAAGTCATAAATTATTTATTTATTTTAAAAAACTTTCTCAAAAACTCTTTAAAATTCTGTACATAATTTTTTATTCATAAAATGTTTTTTGTGCTTTTCGTTTTACGATATTATAACGTTATTTATTAATCGTTTTTCATTGTGTTATATAAAAACGTTAATTACATTTTTAAATTCAATATCTTTTTATGTTATAACCTTGTTATATTTTTGTGTTACACATTTCCTAATATTATAACATGTTATTTAGTTTTTGTATTTTTTTATATTTTATTTTTTATTATTCATTAGGAAATATAATAATTTTTATGTTACATTACTTTCAAAAAGCAAATATTTAACAAAATAAAAAATAAATCTCAAGATATTCTCATGTTATAATTACATTTAATATTATTTTGATGTTGACACATAATTGATTTTGAATGTTATAATAGTTTTTATTGTTAATAGCATTTTCTGTTTTATGATAAAACATTTGTTGATAGTATTAGTTTTTTCTTTTAAATTTTTTTCCCCATTTTAATGTTTATATCATAATGTTATTGTTATAACTTATAAATCGCGTTATCTTAAAATTTACAAAATTTAAAGAAAGGTGTCAATTAATAATCTGAAGATCCTTAAATACTCCTCTGCGTCACAATGCGTGTATGTCATACTGTGCGTATGACAGTTTTGTCAATTTTTTTTTAGAATAAACCTTATTTTCAAATTGTTATCATAAAATATTTTGTGACGTAACCACTGTTACAACCTGTTTTATTAAAAACTATTTGCCATAGGGGATTTAATAATTACACCTATGGTTTCGCCTTTGGGAAAATAGTATCTAAGTTTTTTTTTATTTTATAAATGAATCAAGCAACAAAAAAAAAATATACACCTCTCTCAAGAATATCATTTAAAAAGTAAATAGTTTTTACTGTGCCTTTACATAACTATAACCTTAAAAATAATTACCTCAACTTATTTAATAATGTAACTAAAAAAATTTTGAATTATAATTATTTTTCTTTGAGATTACAGCACATACTAGAATACATCTGTGGTGTTCGAGCAATGGAGATAAATTTAAAATTGAAACTTTTGGAAAAATTAAATTTACATTTACATTTAAGTTATATTTAATACCATTTTTTTATATTTAAAACCATATACAATATATTGTTTTTATGATTTAGAATAAAAATTGTTGCAATTTTACACTTGTCTCCTTTTTTACGAATACTACAGATATTACATCACTAAAGCTTCATTAGTATTCAAAAATTAAAATATCAATAAATTTATTTCCTTACGTTTTTACTTGATAAAACTATATTTAAGTATAAAATTAATTTTTTTCTTCAATTAAACTATCCTCGTCATTTCTAACTACAAGTAAAATCCCAACTGTCACGAATATCATAGTTCAGAGTTTTTATTAACATAGTTATTGTTTGCATGTTAAAAACAAAATTATTAGATACGATAAGCGAGTGGAGTAGGGATAGCAATGAGGTTTATCCATTTGAATTAGAACACATAATACGATGCTTCGTCACCAAGCGATCAGTGGCGTTCTTTTTTCATAGTACCACAACGCCATCTACATGCCGGTTGAGAGAGATCTATTTCTGAATCAGTGTAACCACTCCATTTAGACTATCGGCCGGCTAATATTCAACAAATATACCATAATTTTTAATTTTAGAGATATATTATAGGAAATATTACACATATTCTTTAATAAACTAAAAAAAAAAAATTGATTTATCTGACGACGATTATTAATCAAAATATCATCTAAAAACCTCAACGAATACAAGATTTATGAGCGTCGTAACTATAATTGTCAACACTGCCAAATGTGGTGATACGAATAATTTTTTAACCTTTCATTATTTACGTGAACTTTTTCCGTTTTATACGTATATAATATTGCTCTTTTCCGAGCAAAATTGTGTATTCAAACAGGCGTTAGTAAATAGTACGTAATATTATTTTTCATATTTCACGTAGGCAACAACAGCGTTGTCCGCCGACCGTTTTACCGGCGTTCGTCAACAAGTACCTCAACGTTTTTGTTTGGTTTTGTCTAACATAGATAGAACGCTACGCCCGTCCATTGTTTGTTACCGCTCGGAACCAGTCGTTTGTTTAGTTTCGTCAACTATAATCACCAATACTCAGTGAGTAAACAAACATTAATTACTTTTACAACTGTACTGTTATTGTTATAAATAACATATATATATATATATTAAAAAAAATAAATAAACGTTGCGACATGAGTGACGAGAGCAACCCTCGTACATTGTACGTTGGAAATTTAGACCCATCTGTAACGGAAGATTTATTATGTGCCCTTTTCACAAATATTGGACCAGTCAATGCTTGCAAAGTAATTCGAGAGCCAGGTAGTGATCCTTATGCCTTTCTTGAGTTTGATACGCACACTGGTGCTGCCACGGCTTTAGCTGCGATGAATGGGCGCTTATTTTTGGATAAAGAAATGAAAGTTAACTGGGCTACTACACCTGGTAATCAACCAAAACTTGATACTAGCAATCATTATCATATATTTGTTGGTGATCTTAGTCCCGAAATAGAAACACACACACTAAAAGAAGCATTTGCTCCTTTTGGAGAAATTTCTAATTGTCGAATAGTGCGTGATCCTCAAACATTAAAATCAAAGGGATACGCTTTTGTATCATTTGTCAAAAAGTCTGATGCAGAAAATGCTATTAACTCTATGAATGGACAATGGTTAGGTAGCAGAAGTATTAGGACAAATTGGTCTACTAGAAAACCACCACCACCTAGGGCACCAAATAAGTATAGTGGGTATAGAGCAGTTACTTTTGATGATGTTTATAATCAGTCTAGCCCAACAAATTGTACAGTATATTGTGGAGGTATTGTTGAAGGGTTAACAGAAGAACTTGTAGAGCAAGTATTTTCTAGGTTTGGCACAATAGTAGAAATTAGGGCGTTCAGAGATAAAGGATATGCATTTATTAAATTTTCTACAAAGGAAGCAGCAACTACAGCAATTGAAGCAGTACACAATACAGAAATCAATGGACATCCCGTAAAATGCTTCTGGGGTAAAGAATCAGGAGATCCCAATAGCGCTGCCAATTTAGCTGCACAAGCTGCTGCAGGAGCTGAAAATAGTGCTGGTCAGTACTCATACAATATGGCTTATAATCAAGGTATGAATTACTGGTATCCTTATGCACAAATGCAAGGTCAGTATGTACAAGGCATGCAAGCTGGTTATGGTGGAGCTGCTGCATATGGTCAATATACTGGATATCCTTATCAGATGGGCAATGCTACTGCTTATCAAATGGGTAATGGAGCTGGACAACCAGCAAATGGGCAACAAATGTCTACACCTGCCAATATGCCAGCTGGAGTTTACTCTATGCAGTATCCAAGTCAGTGACAACAAGTAAAATAGATTTCTTAAAATGTTGAAATCTTATTGTTTTCTCATTTGTGCTCTGTATATATATACTTATAAAAACATAAATTACTAAAATATTAGAAAGCAAATGTATGAAAATAAACATTAATTTAATTTAACCTTCTGTTCCATTATTTATAGCACATGGCCCCACTATAAGTTTACAATTGGTTTTTATAAAAATATATATACAATTACAATTTGTCTCCTCAATCTTTAATAATAATATACTTTTATAATATGTATACTAGATTAGAGGTAATTGCAATTTATTGTTTATTCCATCTAGTATAATTGCAGTATGACAATTTATTAATAGATTGTCAGGTGTAACTTATGTCTTAATTTAAGATGTTATAATTCTACCATAAGGTTGTAAAAACTGGAGAACTAAGTGAGTTCATCTTGATCAGTTAACTCATCTGCAAATTTTATGTAATTATGATGTGCTCTAAATACTTTATTAAATTATTCATATGTTTGTTATGTTTTTTTTCATCATATTTAATTTAGAAAAAACTTAATTATGTTTACCTAATGAAAATTTAAATTAGATAGAGTAAATCATGATATGTGTTGTTGACTTAATAATTTGTATAATATACAATTAATCATAAAAAAAAGTATTTTCAATAAATTATAAATGAGTAATTTTACTTGTGAACTGGTACAAAAAAATAAATATGCAAATCATTACGTATTCGTTAAAATTATATTATACTGTGAAAATACTGTAACATGCAAATAAATATAAAAATGATTTTTTACATTAATATAATTGTTAAAATTTATTTTATCTTTGTATTATTGAAATAGTTATCATTAGGTATCTGTAAAAATTTGTCATATTAATTCAATTTTTGAGTTAACTGTTAATTTCATATAGCAAAAAAACTAAAATTACTTTTAGATATATTAAAATATTTCTATTAAGTTATAGCGTGTTTATATAATACACATTATAAACAAATTTTGTTGCATCATATTCGTCATATTCATGTATTAGAGTTAAAAGAATGATGATATGTACATTATAATTTGTTAATGTTTTAAGGGCAAATAAATTATTACAAAAATGTACAGAAAATATTTAAAGAACACTTATATTCAGTTTTTAATTAACTTTAAGTGTGAAATTATTTGTTAATTTTTTAAGCTATATTAATATATTATGGATTGATGTATCCACTATAATTAAGCGATATTACAACAAAATAATAAATTGTACATAGATAGCATCATGTAAATACATATTATTTACTATTTAGCCGAAAAATAAATTGGTGTTTTTTGAAATAAATGTTATAATAAGATAAAAGTTAGAATTATATTCTATCTTTTATCTAAGGCGAACAAATATATATTACATATTATATTATGTCACATCAATCGCCAGGTTAAATGGGAATCTTTTAATATTATGTGTAATTTATGTTTTGGCAATGGAACTGATATTGTAATAGTTATCTTAAATATTTAAATAAATAAATATTCAACATTTTAATATAACAATAGATGTTGCAGTCAATTTTCTAGTTTATTTAAAATAAAAATTCCAGTAATTTTAAGCAAATCACATATAAACCATAATACAAACCACTTAATTCTATTGTATTATCAATTTATTTTATTGAATTTTGTTATATGTATACTCAAAATGTATCTTGAGAAATAATTTACATGAGTGTAATCTCTTATTTAGAAGAGTTTAAAACTTTCATGTTATTTATCATTTACGATACACAAAATTTGATTACATTTTTTTATTAAATGAAACAATAAAGTGTCTTATTTACAGTAGTTTTTTATTTTCTTCTGGCTAAAATAAAATAAATATTTCAATCTTAATTATTTAAAAATTGTGTAAATAAACGTTTTTTATGTAAAAATTAAGCATTAATAAGACTTTTTCAAGCTTAAGTTATATAAAAAATAATAATTTTTATTTGTTTAGACAGTGTTAATAGAGTTTTATTTCACTGAAGTAATCTTCATGCTGAGAGAAATTTTTATTATGGAATTTTCAAGTTTGAGTTCTAGTTTAATGCTTTTTTTATTTTTGTATTACTTATGAAATGAAAAAAAATATTGATGGGTTTGATGAAAGTCATAGCTCAGCTTTAACAATTAGACCCTCCCTTCAAAAAAATTATTGGTACTTCTATATCTTCTTCTTGCTCGCCTTAATCCCAACCACTTGGGGTCGGGCACCCTTATCCTAAACTTCCACTTGACACCCACATCATCCACGCTCATATCAGCCGTCCTCAATTGCATTCAATTACATCCCTCTATCTCTTTTTTGGTGTTCCTCTACCTCTTCTTTTTTCAACATTCATTTCTATAACTGTTCTTACCGCTTACGATTCTTCTTTCCTCATAACATGACCAAACCATCTAAGTCTATTTTCTCTCATCTTATCTACAATTGACGTTACACCTATACTCCCTCTTATATGTTCGTTCCTTATCGTATCTTCTCTGGTCACTCCACTCATCCATCTAAGCATTCTCATCTCTGCTACACTCATTCTCTGCTCTACTTTCTTATCAACCGCCCAACACTCTGAACCATACATCATAGCTGGTCTCACTGCAGTCTTGTAGAATTTACCTTTCAGCCTCGTAGCAATTCTTTTATGGCATAAGACACCAGACGCTTCTCTCTACTTCAACCACTCGCACTTAACATGTGTCTTACATCCTCGTCAATACCACCGCTCTTTTGCACAATTGATCCTAAATACTTAAAAATTTCCACCTCTCCAATCACGTCCTCGGCTATTGTCACTGGTCTCCTTATTTCACCTACTTCGTGTTCTCCTTTATCAAACTCGTTCTCTATATACTCTGTCTAACTCCTATTTATTCTTCAAGAGCTAATCTACATACCTCTAGCCTTTGATTAATTTCCTCCCTATTTTCTCCTATTAACACTACATCGTCAGAAAAACAACATGCACCACGGCACCTCTCCTTGTATTTCTCTAGTAATTTCATCCATCACTATAGAAAATAAGTAAGGGCTTAAAGCAGAACCCTGATGCACTCCTCCTACTCTCACCCGAAAACCTTCTGTTACTCCTACCACACTTTTTACCCTAGTACTAGTACTATCATATATATCCTCTATTATATTAATGGTACTTCTATATAATTTTTTAAAATTTAAATGACACAATTGCTGTATTTATAGAAAAAATACCTAAATCCTATTAAATTATTTATATTAAAGAATGTATACTATTTAGATTTGTATTGTTATATAAATACATAAATTATAATGATAACAAAATAATAGCACATTTGCGTTTGAGAGATTTCAATGATTATTTATGAAATTATTAAAATCAGTGACATTTATAACTCATTTTAAGATGGCAATTAATTTTTTTCTTTGGTAAGCATGCTAGAAAAATTGTTTATAAAAAAGCAAATTGATGACAAAAAAAAAAGAAGGCTTTTAAAGCCATATTTCATTAATATCGTTTTTAAAAAATAGTGATTGCGTTAGTTTTTGAGGGGCGAAGGTCCTTATCATTCCCCTTAAATACGCTACAGCTACATACCAGAATTTATCTTTTCAATAAACCTATTGTTTATGACCGAATTATTTTACACATAGTATGTGTTATAACTTTTTAATACACCTAAGTTATTTCGTTTGCTTTTTTAATTATATACTATAATACATAGGTTACGTAACCGTATCTTTTTAGTAGGTATAATGAAAAATCAGTCGATTTAAAAAAAGACCTTGAATAGAGTTTATTTGTGTATTAATTTACAATATACGTTTTGTTAAGCTTATATAAGCAAAAAATGCAGCATAAAATATAAATTTTATTTTAAGCTGCATTTTTAATGATTAATATTAAAAATTATTAACGTTATATAACAAAAATGTAACTAAAATAATCGAAAAACTGTGTGTTTATTTGCTAATACAAGTATTTTTGATCATCAATATTATTTAACGAGCGATTCTGAAAAAAATTAGGGGATCCAATGTTCATGTAACCAACCTACTCAAAAATCTTAAATAGATACTCTATAGTACTCTGTTAATAATAAAATCTTGCATACTCCAATGAATTAAACTATAGAATATACGCTAATTTTCAAAAAATAAATAGGTATACCCTCTAAAACACCTAATATAAATATTACAGGAAATATTTAGATTAAAAAATGAAAATGACTGTTAATGTTTTTTTTTGAAAAAAATATTTAAGACAAACGTTTTTTATCAATGAAATTTGTACACATGAGCTTCTGTTTAATGTGAGTATTTCGTGGCGTTTTCTGTATTTTAAAACTTTTAATGTAAAGATGGATTTTTAATAAATACAAAAAATTGATTCCTATAAATAATATAAATTTAAGTTATTATTTGTGCATACAATTTTATTTTAATCTATACTCAATATTTTTTGCATTCTATTATACAACAGAATTACCGAACTTAAGTTTGCACAAAATACCGATTAATCGTTTTTTATATACAATCTTATGGAACGTTTAAGTTTTCGCAATATAATATTATATTATTTGCTTTAATATAGTTATAAATAATGTCGTAATATTTAGTCATAGACATTAAAAAAACAACATACTTTTATCTTAACCGTTGAAATCAATTTTATTTAAATATTATTGACGAACTATTCGACGTACAGAAAAAAGTTTCATGTAAAAATTGTTTAGATTTTATTTTTTATTATTTTTCTATCAAACGTAATTCAAATATTCAAGAATTAATGTACAAAATTTTTTTTTTTTTTACAAATATAGAACAAACATGCACAAAATAAATCGATTTAATAGATAAATTAAGCTATATAGCTAATAATCTCTCTAATATATATATGTGTATATGCATGTCGATGTTTTAAAAAGATTATCGATATATTCGATTAATTATTATATTACAATTGACTATTGACTATAACTATCACACAGGCCTAACAATACCTTCAACCTCTATTATGTTACATTAAACTCATTTAATTAAATATCGTGAAATTGCTGTTAAGAGCGCAGCTTAAGTATTTGGTTCTAAAAAACCTTGACTCCATTATACCTGTCACTCATATCTTATTATATCTTTGTTATATTTTCTGTATTATGCTTATCATATGTTTGAAAATTTAAAGTGAGCTGTAGAAAATTTTGTTTTAAACAAATGTAATAATTATTTAATAATCTTGATATATTAGCTGGAATATTTTTTATTGATATTGAGCAAAACTTGAGTAAGATTTATGGGTTCCGAAAAAAAATTCTACCTTTTAGTTACGTAATGAACAAACATTTCAGTTATTTGTATAAAATATCTTAAATGAGTCAGTGGTGTTGCCTGCGGGTGAAGAGGGCCGCAACCTTTATTGACAGCAATATTACTTTCTGAATTAATGAGTGATGAACAAAAAAATAGGTCTAAAATATGAAATTTTTTACTATGGGTTCTTCCATTATGAAGTTGTTTTTGGCTACGCCACTTAAAGCAACCAATCAAAATACCTGTATTCATACATGTTTAATGAAATAATTTGTAAAAACCTCAATTAACGTTTTTACAAGTAGTTACTTTCAGATCATTATTTAGATTTTAAATGTAATTATTTTTATATTATATAATTACATTTATCTTAGTATCAATGGTTCATAGAAGAAGCCCAACTTGAGAGGTTCGAGTACAAATACTTAATTTATCATTGTTCTTAAGTTTATAATACGCAAATAAAAGCTATTATTTTGAAACATAAATATGCTATTAGTATTCTCATCAGGGGTGCATTTTAGATTAGCGTAGGATGGTTACATAAATTTAAACACTCCTATTTTTTCAGAGATCTACTTTAAATAATATTATTAAGAAAAAAAAATGTTGTTCAAAACTTTTTCTTCAACATTAGTTTTCATCTGATTTTAGTATCCAAGGAGAGCTATAGCTTCCTCATTAGCCAATTATTATTAACAAATTAAGACTTTGGTGTTTAAAAGAGCATGTTAGATGCCAAAAACAAAAAAAAAGGTTCTTAGTCCTTTAATCTTGGCTACGTCACTGCTTTAAAATATTAATACTTCACCGCTCGACCAATTATATGATTATCAATTATTGTTAATCCTAAGGTAAAATGTTAAATAACCTTTATTTTTGTGTTAAAAACCGTTGGTAATATTAATGTTTCTAATTATTAACTACCAATATTAAAATAAAATTTGTTCGTTTCTTGCTTTAATATTGAGATTTACCCTTAAGAGCTTTTAGGGAACTAAAAGCTACTTCTTAAATACGGCTCTGAATATTCTCTAAAGGTTAAGTTAACAATACATAAATAATTTCCATTGTTGTTACAATCAAAATACATGTTGATATTCATGTTATCGAAAAAAATAAATTTTACTGAAACGATATCCCTTAATTAGTAATTGGAGAATAAAAGTCCCTAACGTATTACATGACAAAAAAATATTAACTTGCAGCATTATAAACGATAAAAAAAAATAATTAAAAAAATATATGTATTTTATTAAAAAAACATATTTTCTATGTAAAGAATATTAATTTTGTAAATTGAAAATTACACAAATTGAAGCTATGGATCCATATACATTTGTCAAAAGTGATACACTTTTCATTTTTTGATAAAATTGGCAATTTAAGCTGATTCAAATGTTAAAATTAATTTTTTCGACTTAAAAGAAGAAAAAAAAATGAAATAAATTTAACATTATATTCTATGTCAATCAGTTGAATCAGTTCTATCAAAATCAGTGAACCCATTATAAGATATATTATAATAAATTAAAATACAAAACCCAAAATTTTAACACAAAAGTTAAATTTTTGTGCAGAAGTTACAATTTTGAATCCCCCCTGTGGGCAGGTAAAGGGTCAGATTTTCAAAAAATTGATATCAAATGAAAGGAAAATATCTATGATTTCAATAAAAAAAGAATTTTTTTGTTTTGTTCATTTTTTAATAAGTTATAGCAATTGTTAGACAAAAAAAATGTCGAAATTTACCGATTTTAAAAATCGTAATTTTTGGCGAGATTTTCACTTTTTACCGGGAACGAGAGCAAAATGTTCAATTTTTGAGCATTATGTCTCAATTAGATACGATTTGTAATCTTTTGACGTATTGTTGAGAATAATCAGTCCAGTGAGAGCTGAGAAAAATATTGACAGACACAAAATATAAAAAAATAAACACATCATGGTAAAATTAATATCTTTTCAGCTTTCCATCGAAGCTAAAAATCCATTGATCATGTTCGATGATAATTTAATTAATAAAATGAATGATCTTTTAAATAGAAAGCCAACTTGAATTTAATGGAGATTTAAATTTCTTATATTAAAATGTATTTATATGTGTGTATATTGGTAAGTTTTAATACAAGAAAATAATTTAATGATATATATATATAATTGCATTATGTAATAATTGGTCTGGTAAAAAGTTGAAGGACTCTTTGCAAAAATATTGTTATATTGTATTACCCCAACTGATAAAATGTTTGTTGGTGCTACTATCTTGATGCATAACTATTGATGACATAAATAATAATCTATGTAAAATATTACTAGACAATGTTTTTTAATTAATATCTTTTCTAAGTTATCCGTATATCAAATCAGTAAATTTGCATTTGAATATAGATGAAGAATAATTTTTGGAGTGAAAAATGTATGTAATTAGTTAGTAAAAATTCACATCATATTTGAGACTGAATAATTGTTTGATTAATTTGAAATTTTAATTTTAATTTTGGTATAATGGTATAAAGAGATTGATATAATTAACATTACACTAATTTATTTTGTGTGTATAAATACTAAACTCAGCTTTAGGTGTTAAAATTTATGATCTCTATTGGTAATTACATGACACATTAAAAAAAAAAAAAGGGTATTATATCATATGTTTCTTTAATAATTCAATTATATTTGAAATTTAGAATTAGCCTTCAAGGAATATTTAAAATAAAAATATTTATTGCGCTAATTTGATCTCTCCTAAAAATATATATATTTAACAAAATTGATATTATTTTTAAAATTTTTAGGGGCTAAGCATTTTTAAGATTTTTCTAATTGCACTTATGCCGGGCATCTAAATGCAGGGGATTACTAATTTGCATAATTCAAGTTTGATCTTCGATTAAAAGTATCATAGTAATTACAAATGTATATTATTTCATGTGTCTTTCCAATAAAAACATTGCAGCAAGCAGGCTCCGTTAATTAAAACGTGAGCTTGGCAACCCAATTTTTCACCTATGTAAGAATAATATTTACTATTGTATAACTAATGTATTAATGTTGCATGCTTTGGCGTAACAGTCAAATTTCGTCACTAAAAAAAAAAAAAACCTTTCACTTGAAGCATACAGTATACGTGCAGTAAGTGTACAGTTCAGTATAGAGTTAATCGTTAACAGCTGCTAAACATATTTTTAATGTATCTTGATATAAAATATTTTTAATTAGTATAACACACTTAATTATATCTATTTTTTTTTGTTTGACAGCATTTTGAAAACACTTGTTTATCAAATGACCTTGGTTTTTATTACATGATAACTTGTATAGATTTTAAAATTTGCGATTCCCTGCCATTTGGGCTGATAACGTTTAACTGCTTTACTGACGCGATGACCCTACTACTGCTTTTGTTTTTAAGATTATAAATAAATGCTAGTCGTTAGATAGTGTTGACTAAACTTTGCCTATATCGCGTTTGTCATTGGTTTTTGTTTATTTTGCTATTTCCGAGGCTGTGAAAATATTGGACAACTTTCAGGCAATATGATTGCTCCCGCTCTCGTAGTGCTCACTAGTTTACTTATTTCCACATACAATAGTGGCACTGTGTCAACGTAGTTGCCAATAATAAAATGTCAATTCAACAACAATGTAATGTGTAAATATAATTAATTTATGCAGCTGAAGTTAAGAAGTTTAATTGGGATTAACTTCCGCAAAGCAAAGCTACCCATCATCACTCAAAGAATAATTATATATAATGGATTCATTCCTTGATCTATTTGATCCTGGTTCTAGCTCTTTGACAAGTTGTGATGTGTGGCCAGAAGATGATGCTTTAGCGACTCACCTTCCACCAGAGCCACAAATGGGAAATGTTGAGTATAAACTCAAATTAATTAATCCATCAAAATTACGATTTGAACACTTGGTTACTCAGGTAATTTAACATTTGTTAAACCACTCTTATTTATTAAATGATAAATTAATTTTATAGCTAAAATGGAGGCTTAGAGAAGGGCATGGTGAAGCAATATATGAAATTGGTGTTGAAGATACGGGTATGTTAACTGGTTTATCCATTGAAGATATGGAATCTAGTCTTATTACTCTTGATCAAATGGCTAGTAAACTTGGAGCCACTACATCAGTATTACGCGAAAGAATGGTTGGAAAAGACAAAATGGTAGCTGAAATTTTAGTTAGAAAGGTTAGTTTTGAAATTCCCAAGTTAATAATTATTATACATATTTTTAGTAATAATATACCTTAATAACTTAAATTTGTATTTATTCAACCAAAACAAGTGTTTTAAAATTTAAAAATTATAATTACTTGAGCTATTTTGAAGGTGGATCTAATAATGACTTAACTTTAACTTTCAACTGTTAATAGAAATATATATAGTAGAATTGTAATAATTTGCAAAATTCATATATTTAAAATTAATAAACGAATGAATTTTTATTTAAAACTTTTTTGAATATTTCAACATAGTCATTTTATTAGTTTTAAAGAAAAATGTTGGTTTTATAAACTCTTACTTTAATTTATCTATTAAATTGTTACAGTTTTTAAAGTTAATAAAATTAAATTTTTTATGCTTTTTTTAATAGTATTAAACAGTGGTTTGTGATTTTAAGAAAATTATAGAATTAACCGTATATTTTCATTCTACATATTTATTATACAATTGGCATTTTTCTATGAAATTATCAATAGTCAAATAAATACCTATTGTTCACAGCATAAATATCTTAATGTTTATGCTTCATTGAATTAAAGCTGATAATACTAATTTAGTTAATTCAAATTTTAACAAATATTTAAAAGCTATAATAATTTAATGGCTGAATTAAAAATAAAATGTTGTGGTATTAATTATTTTATACAATAGAAAAACATTGATTATAATTACTGTAGAATGTAATCCAAGGCTATAAAAATTGATAAAAAAAAAAAAAGTGAAAAATTTTAATAATAGTTATTAGTAAAATCTGTTCCACTTATATATGATGAATTTTCTATGATAAACGACTCAATAACTCACAGAATAATAATTATTTAAACTTTTTATTTTTTGGGTACTTTTAGTTAATAATTTTAAATTATTAATTATGTAATACTTTTTAAGTACATCCCATATGTCTTGTAAGGGTATCAACTTTTTTTTTTTGTCAAATAGGCACACATTTGGAATTTAATGAAATGTGTTAAGGTTTTATTTTGATAAATAATAGTAAATAACATTTCAATTTTTAACATAACTTTATTAGTTTATTAGATATAAAGATATTTTAAATTTTAAATTTTTGAGTTAATATACTTGTTTAATATATGAGAGATTACAAGTACAGGTAGATAATTGTTTTTTATGATACCACTATTACAGATTTGGAGCGTTTATTATCAATTATGTTTGTTGACAAATATTCTATCTATATTACCAACTGGTATATTTATAAATGTTAACTTACAACAATTTGTCTTACAACCACATTTTAAGCATGTCTATTGATTAAGTCATAATTGACAATAAAATTTGAAACTTTAATGTTTTCTATCGAAATAAATGTTTGTTATTTTTATTCTGGGTTATGATAAAAAAAATCACTCTGTATACACTATTATGTAAATTCTGTAGTTTCAGTCAATTTCTCAGTTTATAAAGGTCATTCTTGTGTAATGAAATATTATTTTATTTTTAGGTTATCTGAGGGCTTTTAAAAAAGTAATTGTGTACAGTCTTTAATTTTAGAATACACGATTAAAGGCATTATTATATTACTTTTTATCATCTATAAGTTCCTATATTTTCAAACATTTTTTTTTTAAATAAAAATGAATTACAAATATTATAAAATGCTTGATATGCATTTTCATATTTTCTGATAAAATTATGTAAATAAATTACTGCAATAAATTATGCAATAATTAATGAAATAATAAAAAATAAGTAAATATGCCTAATTAACTCTTCTACTTGGTTGTAAATTATATTCAATTTAATTGTGTTAAATAGTAATAAATGTATTTATATAAAAGTATTGTACAATAATTAATTATGTAATTGTTTTTCTTAAAATATTAATTTTTCTAATGCCATATTTTATATAGGTTCCAGATGATCAAGAGTGTATAGAAGTTATGGTTGCTGTTTTAGGGGGAGTTGATGCTGGTAAATCTACACTACTTGGTGTTCTGGCCCATGGTGAAAATGACAATGGACGAGGTAGTGCAAGATTAAATGTTCTTAGGCATTTACATGAACTTCGATCTGGCCGAACATCTTCTATATCACATGAAATTTTAGGTTTTGATATTCATGTAAGTATAATATTTCAGCATGCTCATTTATATATATTAATTACTTAACTGACACAAAATTTCTATTTTAATGCTGAAAAATTGAAAATATATTTTTAATTTATCTATTAATAAACTCTTAGAAATAAAATTAATTTTTTAATAATTATACTTTCAAGCATCAACTTATTAAATTTTTGTATATTTTGAACATGTATATATCTTGTTGAATACTTTTTTTCTTATCTCTTTAATGATAAAATACCTAAAATTTAATTTTATTTAATGAAAAGCCTTACTTTTGATTTGATTTGATGATAGAAAAAATTTAAAAACTTTTGTACTTATCAGATTTTTTAACTGATAGAATTTAAAGTTGTTTGAAAATTTTAATTTATAGAAATTTATTATTAATTTGTTATTCATGATACCGAAGTCAACAATAATCTGTATCTTAAGGCCATAAGTTATCATTTATATTTATTCTTGCTATTGTAAGTGATAAATATAATAACAATAATTGTCAATAGAAACTTGTTTAAGTGACATAATGAAGATATATTTGCTACTATATGTTAAACTTCAGATTATCAATATAAAATTGGTCCATAAATGCTAAATTTTAACAAATAATAATAGAAGAACGCTTAATCAAATAAATAATATTATATGAACCAAATCTTTTGAAAATTTCTTTTCTATCATATTATTAAATTAAAAATAGATGTTCCAATTAAAAAATAATGAAGTTCAAGTTTTTAAACCTTAAAGGAATGAAAACAAATGATTTAACTAAATGTTAATATAGAGTTATTTTAATCAATTTATTCCTTTACATAAATAAAAATATTTTAATAGTTTCAAGGAAAATAAGTGTTTTATACTTATATGATAATCCTTTATGCTATAAATTGAAAAGTTGAGTTAATCCTAGAAAAATATTTTAGAGTTAGGCTCAATTATATGTGAAATTAACAATTTTAATAAGTCGACAAATACGGTTAACATATTGTTAACTTCAAGTCTTCATTTAAGATAAATCTGAATTGGTTAATAAAATTTACTTTAAGATCATTTCATTAACATGTAAACTTATTTTAGATTTTTATATAGTAATTTTTTTGATATAAAAGAGTTTTTGCCTATATTATATAGAATTTTTTTTTATGTTATATTCAATGTTAATTAATGAACTTCCCATTTTGTAATTATAATAATTTCATATATAGGGTGAAGTTATTAACTATCAGAATGCTCGTACTGCTGAAGAGATAAGAGATCGCTCAACAAAGTTGATAACATTTCTTGATTTGGCTGGTCACAAAAAGTACTTGAAAACTACAGTAGCTGGACTTAGCGGTTATTGTCCACATCAAGTTATGCTTGTTGTTAGCAGCCCTGCTGTAACAACCTCTAGTTCTATTCCTTTAAACATGACCAAAGAACATATGGATTTAGCACTAGCTCTTAGATTACCATTCTGTATTGTTGTTACAAAAACAGACATAACTCCAGCAGATAACACTTTAAATTGGTTGGAGTGTATATTAAAGGCTGTTGGAAATAGAAAAGTAAATATTTCTTTCACATAGATGTAAAGATGATTAGTTGATTAAAAACTTTATACAATAAGTTATGTTTTAATTTTTATTTTATTACATTTATAAAATTATTTAAGTAAGTCTTTAAGTACAACTTTTTTAGGTTCCTTTAGTAGTCAAATCCGAAGATGATGTTATAACAGCTAGTTCTTCCCAGCAGAATCAAAATGTTGTTCCAATATTTACAGTATCGAGTGTTACTGGTGAAGGATTGGATTTGTTAATACGATTTTTGTATGTTTTACCACCAAGCATTAGTTTAAAAGAAAAAGAAAGATTAGAACAAGTAAATTAAAAAGTAGTAAAAACTATTTAAAATCCTAGGATTAATTTAAATTTTTAATTTAAGGAATGCTGTCAGTTTCAAATTGATGAAATTTTTAAGGTGCCTGATATTGGAACTATTGTTGGGGGAGTTCTCACACAAGGTGTTATAAACATTGGTACAGAACTCGTCATAGGTGTGCAAGTAATTTAAGAAAATAAAGTAATGAAAAGACAGCAGTAAAAATTTACCTAAATTTTTATTGTTAGAAGCTATTGCAATAGTTTAAATTTTTTTTGAAAATTTCATAATTACCATTGAACCTTTTAAATATGAATTACTATTTTAGCTGCCATGTCACTCATTTAAAGTTAAATTATCCAACAGAAGTTTATGTTTGAAGACGTGATTGTTTATTTTATGAAGTATAAAGAAAATTGGTTTTAATAAAGGATAAGTTTTACTTATTACCAGTGTCTTATTCAAAACTTTACTTTCTCTCTATATATATATTACCAAATATTGAGTAAAAAATTATAAAAGTTAAAGACCTGTGTCTATAACATTTTTTACTTCTATTTTAGTACCTGGGAGATAAATAAATTAAAAAGTTCCAAGTACACCTCTGCTATTAAAAATTAATTATATTTTTACTGTTGATATTGCATTGTATTATGCTTAAGAATAAATTGAAATATCTTATATTTAAATTTAAGGTCCATTTAGCAATGGGAAATTTGTGCCTGTTACTATACAATCAATTCATAGAAATAAAGCACCTTGTAGAGTAGTAAAAGCAACACAGAGTGCTTCACTTAGTTTGGAACAATCAATTCCCGGTTTACGAAATGGTATGGTGTTATTAGGATTAGGTGTCAATCATCAAGCATGCATGTTTTTTCAGGTAAAGAATATTAATCAAATCAAATCAGGCCATGCCATTCTGAGTTAAACTTAGAAATAAAACTAATGTTAATCACAATTTATCGATTCTTCTGTAGAGTATTAATAATTATTAAAATAAATATTATTTTTTAATACAATAAAACCTGGTGTAAAAAAATCAATTTTTGAAATAAGTTTTTTTGTAGAAACTGGTCCTGTTAATTTATAATTGTTTTGTTAAAATAAAAGTTCAAAAATTGATGCTTTTGATGTGAATTTTGTTTTATTTATCAAAATATATTTATCTTATACTTGTATTAAAGTAAAATATCAATTTTTTTAAGATACCAATTTATTGTACTGACAATAAAAAATCCAGCTATCTAAATATTCATGCATTCTTATAAGATTGTGGTCCCCAATTTATTCAGATAATGGAGATTTACTATAATCTATAAATACATCATTATGTATTTTTATAAAAATAGTTATATTATTTTATACTGAATATTTTTATTCCTTTACATTTTTTTGATAAAATAGTTTATTTTTGAACTAATTAATTCATTTTTGACCAAGTACTCTATTTTCACTCTGGTACCTGGTGTAAATATAAATAGATTTTAATTAAATAGCTATTGTAAAAATAGCATTCCTTCCAAAATTATTTTTTAATTTCGATTTTGTGACATTATGAAACCTGATTTTTAGAATTGAATTGAACCCTAAACTTTTAGTTTTTTAGTAGTTGAATGCAAATTGAACAATCCAAGTATTTAATCAAACTAGATATTAATTTTAGACAAAAAATAATTTATATAATTATTTTAAAAGTTTAGTACAATATTTGATTATGCTAGTTTGATTTTTCAAACCGATTTAAACAACCTGTCTGCATGACTAATTTTTACAGTTAATAATTTTATAGATTTAAAAAAACATGTGTGTAATCCTAGTATAATCTTCAATTTACCTATTTGTGATGTAATTATTTTTTAGGCAAGAATTGTTGTATTATATCATGCTACATCAATACATAATGGATTCCAAACAACTGTACACATAGGAAATATAAGGCAGACAGCAGCTATTGTTGCCATTATGGACTGTGATAAAAATGGAATGCATACTAATGATACTGCCTCAGTAATATTTAAATTTGCTCGCCACCCAGAATATGTCACTGAAGGAATGAGATTATTATTCCGAGAAGGACAGACAAAAGGAATTGGTCGGGTGACCCAAGTTTTTGCTGTACAAGTAGAAGCTGGTTAGCTCAGTTGTATAAGATTTTGTTTAGAATATTATACAATCAATACAAATTTTATTAACAAAAGGACATAGTAAATGAAGAGTTTTTAAATTAATGTAAAAATTGTTATTATTCATCACTAAAATTATTTTAATTATATGTTGTATAAAATCTCATAAGTATCAAAATTTATGTAGAAGTATAAACAAAAAAATGAAATTTGATGTTACCACAAAAGTCTTTGTAATTGATCGAAATGTCACCTTAATTTTCAGTTCAATTGAAAATTTCATATAAAATCTTGTCTTTTATTAAAACTTCACCGATGAACTTCTTAAATTATTTTATTACTTTATTTTATGAATGGACATTTTTTTATTTGTACTATATGTATCGTTAAGTCATGATTGTATTGAAAAAAAAAAATCTAAATTTATAAATAGCTTTTAAATTATATATCCGATTCATAGAATTCCAATTTAAAAAGATACAAATATTTTAATTACTAAAAACTTTACCTTGAAAATCCAGGTAGACCTTTGGTGTTCACAGCCCCTCTTCCCAAAATTATTTCAATGATTTTAAATATAAAAGTTTGTAATTTAATAAACTCTTTTTAATATTCATCTTTATAGTATTTCAAATTAGTACAAGAAAACACGTCATGTACTTTTTTAATAGTTTTTTAAATAAATACGAATTATTCAAAGTGTTAAAAAAAAATACAATATTCTATGTAACACAAATAAATGAATAGTTTTTAATATTATATTTTTGAAATTATTCTGTTTAAGTAAAAAGGAAAAAAAACCAGCACAGTGGGATCATGGCATAATAGGGATGCCTAATAGATGAGACAAAAAAAGATTATATCTGACAGTCATTAAAATTACTATAAAAAAAACCCCAGCACAGTGGAGGAGTAGCATAGTAGGATTCAGTATAGATGATATCTGATAGAGATTAAAATTACTATCATAACGCTTCGATATAAATCTGTAGATAGTGTTTAATTATGAGATATCGGTAAATTATTTTAAAAGCAACAATATCTCTTATTCCTTTAATTTTATCCCGATTAGTTATTTGATTTATAATTATAATATATGAATAAATAATAATTATAGTAATTAAATTTAGTATGAAATTGATATTCAATAATTTAATATTGTAATTTTTACAAAGATATAAAAAATATTAAAATAGTTGTATATTTCTTTATCGCGTATAAAAATTTAAAGGGTTTATAAGTTATAAGTTTCATACTCTGGACTACAAGGAACTTTCATCAGAAACAAAAATATACTTTTCTAAATCAACTTTTCGCACTGTTTTCAAATCTGCAATTAGACTTTTTCAATCACTTCTAATTTTTGAAATTATTAAAAAATAAGTATTTACATATAAAAAAAAATAATTAAGAACAAATTATTTTAAAGTAATTATTTTATTTAAATTAATTAAATTATTTTTAACAAAAAATTATTTTAATTTAATACTGATTTTGATTATTAATATGTTAAAAATAAGAAAAATGACATATTTAACCTATTTTTAGCTTCGATGCGAAGCTGAGAAGGTATTGGTTTTACTAAGATGTGTTTTTTTTTTTTTTTTTTTTTTTTTTTTTTTTTTTTCCCCTTTTTTTTT